AAGACATCTCATATCCGCCTCAGTGGCTAWAATTCTTAAATAAATAAAACAACCGTACACCTAAACTCCAACGACAACGGTGACGCGTTTACCAGCAACATCCATAACAAAATAAAGTAGTTCTAAAGAATACAAAATTCCTCCTCGGTCCACACTTAGCAATAACATAAAGCCCAACACTACTCGTACCAAACGACCCTTCCCTCTATCCTCACTAACTCGACTAGTGATCTTTCCTCGGTCAAGCCCTCTCCACGTCATCACCGCGGTCGACCCTGTTCACGCCTGAAAACAAATAAGGATAAAAGGGGGGTGAGTACGTAAGGTACTCCGTAAGTAGCACTCCCTAACTAACACAAAAATCATGCTCACAGTCACGGCATATAAAATAAACGATAGCAAGGCAATTAAATAGACAGAGAGAGATAGCGAACAATAACTTGACATTTACATGCAACAACCATGCGTCGGAACTACCAAGACTACAACCAATCATTCACTAGCCCTTGTCCCACAATACTAAACCTCCCTCTACACCCCCTCCTGTGTTACTCCCCGTTTAACTTCTCGAGGCACGACGGCTCATGACATTTATTCCCAAGATACCGCCCCCTCTCCTTTTACAGTACTCGATGTTCGACCTTGTCATTTATTCCCAAGGCCTAGCATCACTACCTCGCAAGCACCACTCTACTTTAATCCCTCAAGCCTAACTCCTCGAGTCGCATTGACCCTTGACATTTATCCCCAAGGCCTCAATACTCCTCTACAGAAACTTGATGTTCGGCCTTGCCATTTATTCCCAAGGCATTGGGAATAAATATGCATTGCGGACTCCACAATGGAAGTTGAATACGTAGCTGCTTATGTAGCAGTAAAGGAAGCAGTGTGGCTAAGGAAATTATATTGACTGATCTGGAAATCGTTCCAAACATGCATCTGCCTATCACTCTCTTTTGTGATAACAGTGGAGCAATTGCAAATTCAAAGGAACCTAGAAGCCATAAGCGTGCAAAGCATATTGAGCGAAAATATCATCTTATCAGGGAGATAGTACACCTGGGAGATGTGGTCATCACTCAGATAGCATTGGAAGAGAATCTTGCTGATTCATTTACTAAGGCCCTCTCGGCTAAACTGTTTGAGGGTCACCTAGAGAGTCTCGGATTATGAGTTTTGTAAACTAGGACAAGTGGGAGAATAATTGAATGTGTATCTGATGTATGCCCAATCTTTTTGTATTTTCTCACTTAAACTCAATAAAATATACCATTGGAGTTTTAATCCAAGTAGAAGTTTGTTGGATTTTATGTCCTAAAACTCATAGTTTGTAAATACCAAATATACTTTTATCATTCAATAAAATGGTTATTGAAATTTATAATCAATAAGTAGTTATTGATCCAATAAAATGTTCTTACTATATCCAAATCCAATAAACTAAGGATCTTATACTGTTACATGAGACTCAAACTTTATGTAGAGACATAAATGTGGATCAAGTTTGAGTTAACACTCTAAATGGTCTATAGTACAGGAATAAGGTTGGACGCCTTATTCTGGGGACACTATGGATGTGGCCTACTTTGTAGCTAGTACAAATGATGTGATCCTAATTCGTTCATGTGGAGACATGCGAGTGGGGGCGTCCCGTGCAAAGAGTTTGTATAAGATCGGACCATGAGATAGTCAGTTTTACTTTTTAACATCGTTTACTGTCTAAAACTTACTATCTCGACTTTGATGGCCTAGGTAACTCGATCTTAATCCTGAACTAACTATGAACTTCTATTTACTTGGGATTATCCTTGGATTTGCATGGGTGAGAGCAGCTCATCATCGCTGGCTCAATAAGCCTCCCATTTCAGGGGTAAGATCAGGTAGATAGCAAGAGACAAATGGTGCAAGAAAATAATTCACTCCTACCCACTTATTGGATAGTAGAAAGGTTGTTCTCTTAAGGGTTGATTCCAGGTCTTGAACAATTGGCGCCACCCTCATCAAATGATTTGAGAGGATTTTTTGATTTGATAATTGGACTACAAATCATTGTTCATTAGAAGATCAGTGGGACTTAAGGAACAGGAGGTAGTTACAGGGGTAAAACAATATTTTGACCTAGCTGTAATTACGAACAACTTGAGAAGGGTCAACTTACCGATCATAGTTATATCAAATGGACATAATATATCTAAAGTGAAGAGAGTGCAGCTACGGGCTTTAGAGAAGTGACCTGGTAGTTAACGAATATTGATTAACTAGGTTAAAGAGTTTAACCTATAAATCTCGGATCGTTGGAGCTCATGATCTTTAGGTCCATAAGATCCCCTTGCTAGCTCATATAGGAATAAACTTGGAATAATTTGAATTGTTTGAATTAGGTTAATCATATGAGATATGATTAAGTAATTGATACATGATATCAATTGAGAAATTTGGTCAACATATTTAAATAGAATTTAAATATTAAAATTATGAATGCAGATTCATAATCAGAGGCATGGATTTAGTCAAACAGTCGAATTTCGGAAAAAGTCAAATAGTCTATTTTGACCCGAGAAAGTCAATGGTTGAATAAGAATATTAAAATGATATTTTTAACCAAGTTGGTGGAATATTTCACTAACTTGTTGAGTGGAACATTTAAATAATCTCTAAAATCCACATTTTGAAACTTAATCATGGCATGCATGAGTGGAGTGTGTTGTAAGCTTTTGGTGAACTTAGACATGTATTTTGACACTTAGACATGCCATGCATGAGTAGAATATGTATTGTAAGCTTTTGGTGAACTTAGACATGCAAGAGTTGCATGTAATTTTGCCTGTTTAAGAAGGCCTTTGTTCAAATATTAAAGACTCTTGGAACCTTTGGCCATTTTGATGGTTTTGAAAAACTTACATAACTTATTTTAGCTCTATATTTCTTTCAAATTGTCCTTCTCTAAAAGAGTCCCATCACTCTATTCTAAGCCTTGAGAATAGCTAGGAAGACCTCTTGGTGGTCCTCGTTGGAGCTATTTGAAGAAGTTTGAAAAGCTACAAAGGTATGTAATTTTCTCTCCTTTTCTCTAAGCATCATAATGTATGATCATGCATGTTTAATCATAGGTTGGAATATGCATCTAGATTGTTATTTCGATCCTTGCTTGCTTCCGCTGCGCATGTATGTATTTTGTCCATCACCAACAAGTTTTTGGCGCCGTTGCCTGGGACATCAATTTTCACATCATATGCTCTTTTAAGTGAATTGTTTCATGAGTGATTGTTGCATACCTCTATCATTGAACTTAATTGTTATATCTAATTTTTAAGGGAGTTGCCTATGGGCACAGGGCCTGGGTGGTTGAACTTTGATCCAGAAATTGAAAGAACCCTTAAAAGGAGAAAGCGTGAGAAGATGTTGAGAAAAGAAAGAGAAAATCAAAAAGAGAATGAAGCTGAAGTAGTTGAAGTAGTTGAAGAAGTTGAAGAGTAGACCATCGAGATGAATCGAAATCCACGAGATCCTCCACCTCCACAAGATCCACCTATGAACGGAGATATGGTAGGTGAAGGAGCAACAAACCGAGCTGGAGAAGTGCCTATTCTGATCCTTCTAGCTGATAACTGAGATGTAGCCATGCGGAACTATGTCACTCATGCGTTCAATAACTTATATTCAGCGGTAAGTAATCCTTTGTCCCAAGCCGCACAGTTCGAGCTTAAGCAAGTCATGTTATAGATGTTGTAGACGATGTGCCAGTTCGAAGGATTAACTAATGAAGATCTCTATTCCCATCTCTTTTTACTGAAATAGCTAATGCATTTCAACTAAGACTAAAATTGTTTCCTTTTTTCTCTGAGAAACAATGCAAGGAATTGAATAAATGCGCTAGAACCAAATTCTATCACCACGTGGGCAGAACTGACGGAGAAATTTTTGGTAAAGTACCATACTTTGCCAAGAACACAGACCTTCGAGAAGACATTGTGTCTTTTCGACAAAATAAGAATGAAACAGTTCAATAAGCTTGGGAGCGTTTGTAATTAATTAGAATCTCCCCATCACTGTGTAATGAACATGTGAGTAACCATGTAAAATAATATAGATAGTTTGATTTATCGTTAAACTAAAAATCTATATAAAATCACTGGTCATCTAGTTTTCCCTTTACCAAATATTTTTTTTCTGAAAGAACAGAGAAAAAAGACACCCATATCCACAAAAATCTAACCCAACCGAAAAACAAAGTTGCATGTTAAGACATTGGACATCTCACAAATGGAAGAAGGAACATGAAACCAAGCCCGTCCGTTGTGTGAGCAATGCTGACACCTATATTTGGCCTAAATGATGACACCTATATTTCGTTGGTTTAGAAACCATTGAAACCATATCTGAGAAAAAGAAAAGAACATCTCGTGGATGATCAAAATGGCGTGGCATTAAGGGACAGTGATGTTGACCAAAATGGCCTGAAATTAAGAAGCAAGATGTTGAGTAGTTTAAGGAACTAACTAGGAGTATTAGCACCTAAAATTAAGGATGTTGCTGTTATAACAGCTGTGTCATGACTACATTTCAGGAACTTATAAATCACCAACCTAAGAACCCATGTTTCAAAAACTCATATAGAGAGAAAGCAGCATCTAATTAATCACATTGATTCATTTACAAAGATTTTTTCAGTGGTCGCAGACTCACAGGTACGACGATATAACCCACTCTAGATCTAAAATTACGTTATGAATCAAAACTTATGGAACCATGTGTATATGGGAGAACATTAGAAAACAATGGCTTTCAATATATTGTCATTGATCTGGTTTTTGGTTCTTGGGATTTGAAAAATTACATTCAAATCCAATTTATCTGAGATAAAATTTTCTATGTTTGTTGCTAGTTGCAATGCTGAGTTAAAAACTGAAGGTTTGATGTGATTTATAGAATTCGAAGTAATCTTGGTATGTTGGCAGGGCCGTTATTGGAGAGAGACAAACTTGTTTGTGTGAAGATGAAGGACGTGGAGAGTTTGAAGCCGTTGATCGCGATGGTTGGTGTAGATTTTGGTTATGCCATAGTGAATATTCTGATGGAGGCAGCTCTTAGCGATGGAATGAACCACTTGACTCTCATCACATATCGGCTCGGTATTGCATCCATTTCCTTGGGTCCCATCGCCTACTTTTACGAAAGGTTTTAATTTTAATTCGTCGATGATGATGATAATAGTAATATAATTTTTCTTCTTCTTTTTATTTGATATTGAATGGTTTTGTTGGTTGCAGAGATGGGCGAGACAAACTCTCATTCCGCATCCTCTCGTATTTGTTCTTAAGCGCCATTGTAGGGTAAGTTGTAAGTTTGAGAATTGAGAATAATTAATAATTGATAATTAATTAGTGTAACTGTGTTTCTACTTGTAGGGCTTCGGTCACTCAATACTGTTTGCTTCTGGGCATTGAACACACCTCTGCCACTTTCGCCTGCGCATTCCTCAACCTAATTCCTGTCGCCACTTTTCTCATGGCTCTTCTACTTAGGTATTCCAATTTTTAATTTTATGGTAAAATGAAAGTGAAACCCATTGGGGGCCTAATGCATGCAGGTTGGAGACGGTGAAGTTGAAATCCAGCAGTGGACAAGCCAAGATGCTAGGAACGGTGGTTTGCATCTCCGGCGCCGTGTTGTTGATCACGTACAAAGGGCCAGCTCTGGCCAACCGTTCATACGCCGCCGCCGCCGCCACCGCCGTGAAGAAGACGAATTGGACGTTGGGGTGCATAGCTCTGGTGGTCGGAACTCTACTGTGGTCATCATGGTTTCTCCTGCAGACCAACATCGGGAAGAGATATCCGTACGAGTACTCCAGCACTGCCATCATGTCCTTCTTCGGTGCCGCCCAAGCCGCCGTCTTCAACCTCTGCACACGCACCACTCTTTCCTCCTGGGGCCTACATGGCAAGATTCAGATCATCACTGTCGTATACTCTGTGAGTACTTTTCAAAGCAATTGAATCCAATTTTTGTGTTGTGGGGAACTTGAAATCAGTTAGCCAAATGGTAGGGGATGATCGGATCCGGGCTGTGCGTGGTGGGAACGTCATGGTGCGTTAAAAAAAGAGGTCCAGTTTTCACTGCAGCCTTCAGCCCACTGGTTCAGATAATTGCTGCCGTCTTCGACATTCCCGTCCTCCACGATCCACTCTACCTTGGAAAGTAATTAACTATAACCAGCTCCTTAAATTAATTTCTTAATTATTACTCAATAATATAATGCCCAACAATTATTAATTATTATTCCTCCAGCTTGTTGGGGTCGCTAATTGTAATAATTGGACTCTACGTTTTGCTGTGGGGGAAGAGCAAGGAAGTGGAGGGCTCTGTTTCAAAGGTGGTGGCCATGGAACAAATTACAACTACAACTGCTCAAGATTATCCCATCAAAGAATTAAACCATCATGATAATCCATAGAATAGAATGGTTACACAGATAGAGTTGCATTTTTTGTTTTTTCGGACAGTTTTGCTGATTAGTATTTATACAAAAAAATAATAATAATTAAAAACGAAAGAAATTATTTTTCAGTTTCTTCTAACCAGCTCATATGTAAAAAGAAAAACGTGTGTTTTGGCATTTGGAATTTGACACAAATGATTTCAAACTCCAACATTTTAAAAGATAGAAATAATTTCAAATACGTTAATTGTGTTTGGAACCAAACGGATTTGAAATCGTTGAAATTAAAATTTATTGTTTGGAGGTTCATGGGAAAGGAAAAAATAATGTATAAATTTTATTGTTATGCCCTTATAATTTTACATGATATTATATAAATAAATAATAGTAATACAAAGATATTATATAAATAATAATAATAATACGAGGTGCGCGTAAGCTCGGGACACTCATGAATATAAAAAAATATGTTTTAATATGAAATAGTTATAATGTCTACTACATATAAAAATAAAAGGGGATTTGTAATGGGTAGCATATAAGTTTTCTATATTTAACAAAATAGCATGCCTTTTTTATATTTTCAGATATAGCATTTTTTTGAAAATCCTAATTTTAAAATTTTTAGTATTCCCAAATTACCCTTTTCAGTTATCGCTTCGTTATTATATATCAAACATATATCACATATATATCAGGAGTATATCTGACAACATTAGTATATCAGAAGTAAATCAATAGTATATGAAAAGTCAATCAGTTCTATATCAGTTGTATAATAGTAAATCACTATTTTACCTGCTTTAACCCTTTGTCTTATATTTTTTTGATCAATTAGAAATTAGTAGGTATTGGCATGCATGGAAAATGAGAAAAAAATTTGATACTTACTGAAAATGAGAATGAAAACTTGAAAGGAACGTGAATGTGAACGTCAATGGTGATTTTCGAAATTATTGTGAATGAGAAATCAATTAGAAATTAGAGGTAAATAAAAACTTAGGGTTTTTCTATATATCAATGATATATCAAGTATATATTGTATATATATCAATAGTACAGTTAAGTTTTATTTAAAGTTTTAAAGATCAAAATGAAAGCAGCAACAATGTCATTCTTAAAATGTTTAAATATCATTCTTGGGTATCAACATGAACATCAAATCAGCAGCAAAGTCCTTCAACCAAAAACTTAAAGGTTTAAACATCAAAACGAACCAGTAGCATAAACCAAAAGTAGACTAACAATGTCATTCGTAAAATTATATAAAAGAAGAAGCATAAGTTCCAGAATCATAAGTTCCGACAGTTTAGAAAAGCGTAAGTTTCATTCTTGTAGAATCTTTAGGTAAAAGCTTGGGACATCAATCTTCGTTCTTGGTGATTGTCGTGTTTTCGGAGATACTATCTTTGAAGCTTTCCGTTTTTCCATAGACAACACTTTTGGCGTTGGTTTATGTTGTCTTTTGGGACGAACGACATCAACATTTTCGACGATGTTTTTTTTTATTTCATTTTTCTTGTTTGTACCATTGCTTTTATCTGAAAAAAAAATTATTTCATATATTAGTATATCATAAAACATATATTAGAGGTAATATGTTCGAAATAATTGGTAGATATCATAGTTATATAAGAAGTAAATGAATTTCATATCATATGTATATCAAACATATATCACATATATATCAACAGTATATATGTTAATCATAGTTATATCAGAAGTAAATCAATAGTACATAAGAAGTCAATCAGTTCTATATCACATATAGTAATAGATATCATAGTTATATTCAGAAGTAAATCAATATGTATATCAAACATATATCACATATATATGAGCTGTATATCTATCAATCATAGTTATATCATAAGTAAATCAATAGTATATCAAAAGTCAATCAGTTCTATATCACCTATAGTAGTATATATCATAGTTATATCAGAAGTAAATCAATTTCATATCATATGCATATCAAATATATATCACATATATATCAGGAGTATATCTGTCAATCATTAGTATATCAGAAGTAATTTATTGTTGGTTCGGGCCTACAGGGTATATTTGTAATTTAGAATGTGGGCCTCCGTTTTTTTGTCAAAAAAATGCTATATTTGAAAAACTCAAATCTTGTTGCTATTTTGCTTATTTTCCTAACTTTTTTTGTCATATCTCAAGTTGCCCCAAAATAAAATTATTTAATGAGATCAACTTAATAAATTAAAGGGTAATTGTAGTGGGTAGCAAAAATATTTTATATATTTAAAGAAATGTGGTTTTTCAAATTTTCAAATATAGCAAAATATTTGAATTTTTATTTTCAGAATTTTTATTATTCCAATTTTATGTATATTTATTATTCCATATGAAATCTGATATACATCCAATCTATATTTGATATACATCTTATGTATATTTATATCTGATATAGATCCAATCTATATCTGATATACCTCGGATGTATATTTGTATTTGATATATATCAAATCATATCTCATGTACATCCGATGTACCTATGATATACTTCTGATATACATTCGATGTAACTCTGATATACTTCTGATATACATCTGATGTACTCCTGAATATGGTTAATACTAGGGTATTCATCAAAACAGTTTAAACTTGTAATCAAGCTAAACTCTCTCAATCCAAATCTTACAAGGTTCTCATAAGATTGAATATCAATGCTTCTCGTGGGCTCTTTTCAGATATTCGACGAATTAGATTCACTAATAACTGTAGTGGGCCTCTCCTAATATTAAATGACAGAAAGTGTCGAAATTGTTTACTTCTAAAGATTTCTATTTTGGCTAGTGTTAGCATCCTGAGAATGTTATCTATTGATTCTGATTTTGAATATTGTTGCAGTTTTGCACCACAATACTATATTTCTTTCTCCTGTTAAAGTAAAATCATTATATCAGATGTAAACCAAACTATCACATCAATAGTATATCAAACACCCATTTCAATAGTATATATATATCAAACACTCGTATCAGTAGTATATCAGACGCTTATATAAATAGTATATCGCATGTATATCTGATATACATATTAGTATAGTATACCGCACACTCATATCAAGCGTATATGCGACTATGATATCAGTAGTACATCAGACACTTATATCAGTAGTATATCAACCATAAATATCAGCAGTATATCAGAGGGAAATGGAAACGTAGGTTTTATGGGCTTGAGTTTGGACTTGTAGGGCAATGTTGTCACTTAATATGTGGGCCTCCGTTTTTTTTTAAATGTTATATTTGAAAAATCAAAGCATGGTTGCTATTTTGCTTATTTTGTCATATCTCAAGTTGACCCCAAAATTAAAACTTGTAAATGAAATTTGAGGGAAAAAATAAAAAAATAAAAAAAAACTTATAAATATCTCTCTTTAAATATATATTTTTTAAAATCTTAAAGCGAATTATTTTAAATCTAAACCAAAATAATCTATACGTTTATTTATAACTAAACAAACTGTAGTAGGGTAATTTCTTAAAAGAATAAAAACCAAAGATCTATTTTTTCCCTTATAAAATATGGTAAATTTGGATTTTGTTACATTTTAATTTCAAATTCTTCCAAATCTTAGGTAGTTGGAAGGGAATTTTTTTTTTAACAAAATGTGATTTAAAATGCTTCTTGATTTTAAATTCCTCCATTTTCTTTGCTAACCAAACAAGAGAAATCATTTAAAAATCATTGTGATTTACAAATCCTTGAACTGCTTATTGGTACCATTTTGTTTCGAGGTATAATCTAAAATACCATCTCATGGGCATTTAGAATTCCATTTGCGCTCCTCTAGCCCCAGCTTTCGTTTCTCAGTATCAGTGTGTCACATAGTGTATTTATTGTTTGTGTTCTTTCCGATCTCTATGCATAGAGATCAGAAATTTCACTGCTTCACTAGAAATTTCCTCTGCCTCTACCGTACTATAGTTGCTGGTTTCTACCGCGAGTCAAAATATATCTATAGTATATATAAAATGGATTTTAGGGAGAAACTTTATCTTCCTATTTTGCCTTTTAATTTTCAATGTTTTCTATATTATTTTAATAGCAATTTTATCTTTTCACCCCTCTCTTTCAAATTCCACTTACTTCTCCCGCCAAATCTCCTCAAATTCTACTAATTCTCTCTCCCATCTCTCTTCACATCACTATCCTTTTTTTTCCAATATCTTTTTAATATATTTATTTAAGTTAAAATGAACTAAGAAAAAATAAAGAAAATAATGAAAAAAGTTTGAATAAAAATGTTTTTAATTTATTCCTAAAACTTAATTATAAAACTGGAGAACCAAAAAATTTGGGCCAATCATAAACAGCCACGTCATTATCTATTTTATTTAGGGATTAATTATATATTAATCCTAAATTAAATTAAAGATAATTTGACAATTAAAATATGTAATTGGGTCATATGAGTATTGGGCTTGAAATCGATTTGGTTCACAAACTTGGCCCAAAATCCAATTTACCATGAAAGAAATTGGATTAATATTTAAATTTAAATAAATCTATTTAAAGAATTGGGCTTGGCCCAAAATTATCCAAGCCCAATGGCCCACCAAAGCCTATGGAAACGTCTATAAATAGAGGGGACCTCATTCATTTTGAAGGTTCAGAATTTCAGAATTGAGAGAATTCACACCAAATTGAAGACTCTCTGAAGACTTGAAGATTCGAAGACCAACTTGAAGACTTTGAATACTTGAAGACTTGAAAACTTTCGAAGAACATATAACTTTGATCCAAATTCAAGAACAAGCATCTCAATCTTCATATCAAGTTCGAGAGAAAGAATCAGAGGATAAAAGATTAGAGATTGAATCCACTATACAACACATACTACAAATATAAAAGTTCAACTCCACAAAAGATAATTTCTCCGGAAATCTCGTGTGAACAAATTGGCACGCCCAGTGGGACAATCTCTACCTCTCATCTCCTTCTCAAGACTTGAAATCATAAAATCGTTATGAAATAAAATAAAG